GGATTTCTTTGGTTTTCTGTGTTAATCTCTGGATTGTTTGCTTGATCTGATATGTAGCAGTGAACCTGGAATTTAAATGTTCACTATTCTTTGTGACTTAAACTTTCTATTTTTTGGATTTTAATTTTATTTTGCCAGTAGACATCTTCAAGTAATTCCCAAGAAAGGGCTCATGGACAGTAAATGTTTGAGTTGGAAATGATTTATTTTGGAATCTTGCTTGAATTGATAGTTTGGCTGTAGAATTTTGGATTCAGAATTATTTTCCCTTTGGCTTCTAAAGCCTTATTCCATGATTTTCAGCATTCGTGATAAAACAGATGCTGATATACTTAATGTTACTGTGGATGCTTTATGTGCTTCTGTTTGTCACAGGATGTTCGAAATATCGGCCAGACAAATCTAGATCTTAGTCTCCTTTTATTCCTCCCACTTTCACTGTAACCATTCAGTTTGAAGAACTGTGTTTTTCAACTTTGTGAAATGTGTCATTTCTTTGATAATTATTTTGGGTTTTTTGCTTTGCTTTTTGGGATTTTAAATGTATACACTATGATGTTTTTAATGTGAAATAAGTAAATTTTCTTTTTTAAAAAAATGTATTTTAAAAGAGGACAAAACAGAACAAAATGAAACAGAATAAAGCCAATTAAAACAAAACAATGAGAACAATACAGGACTTCAAAACAAGATAACAGATTCCAGGGGGAGAACCAGCAGTGTCTCCTGAGATCCACTCCATGTTGGAACTCAGGACTCTGGGAAGCCAAGCAAGCACCTCCCTTCTCTGGTAAGTGGAGGCAGCATGGCAGACTGCAGCCCTTCCAGGGGGAGAACCAGCAGCAGCTCCTAAGATCCGTGCCATGTTGGAACTGGGAAAACAAATGACCATTCTGCCTCCCTGCTCGGCAATAGTGAACCTACTGCTATATGGCCTAGAGTCAAATATCCCACTTCCCTGATCCTCCTTCTCCCCTCCCCCCCACATTAGCAAATGGGAACCAGAAATCTAGGCATCTCCTGGGAGGTTGACCATAGCTAATAAGGGGTCTTCCTTCTACCATTTCTTTGAAGGCAAATATTTTTATTACTGTTTTGTTCTTTTCTGATTAATGGTACTGCTCTATTCAATATTCTGTTTTGATGAGTTCGATAGTGTTCTATATTTCATCTCATTTTGATATATGTGATTGAAAGAACAACTATTATAAAGATAAAATATACTGTGATACCTATTACTGTTATCCCGTTAACTTGCTGTGAAGTTCTGTGCCAATTTCACTGTATGATCTTAGTTGGCTTTATTCTGACTTGTTCTGTTGTATACTTTCAAAATAAAAAAAAAACCCTACAGAAAATTAAAAAAAAAACAAAACAAGATAACAGAAAATAAACAATGGCTGCCATAATGTCTCAGGCTATCTTTAAAGTAGCTTTCCATACCATATAGCATAATAGAATCAAGCAAAACAGAATAAAACCAATCAAAACAAAACAATGGAAGTAATACAGAATTTCAAAATAATAGATTAACAATGGCTACCATAATGTATCTTGTTATCTTCAAAACAGTTTCCCATATAATCAGACATAATAGAATCTAAGAAAACAAAACAGATTAAACCAAACAAAGCAATGAAAACAAACAGGACTTCAAAACAAGGTAATAGGAAATTAACAATGTGTACCACTTTCTGTTTTTAGACGTTTCCTCCCCTTTCACCTTCACAATATCTGTTGTGCATTTTGGATCCCACTAACTCCTTCAGGTTTTTTTCTCTTTAATTTTAAAAGAAATAGAGCAATAAAACAGAAGAAAACAATGATGGGACAGTAGGAAATCCACAGTAATTACTACATTGCATATTGTTGTCCTCCAAACAATTGCTAGGATTTAGGCTTCCAAAGTCTTGAGATCACTATGGCATCCAGGCTGGTCCTGAACTTGTGGTGATCCTCCTGCCTCAGCCTCCCAAGTGTTTGGATTACAGTATGCACCACTGCACCCAGATCTTTGATAATTTTTTACTCAGCACTTTGTGTTTCTCTCTTTTTGCTGTGTCTATGCAGATACTGAACTTCTTGATTTAATCCTCTTGGACTTTATCTTGTCTCTGCTCTGCCCTTGCCCTATTTCTTACACTATTCTTGTATTATTGTATTACTTTTTCAATAAATTTTCAACTTACTTTTTTTGTATGAATACATTTTCTTACTTTGATTTTTATTGTAAAAAATTTTAAACTTCCTAAAAGACAATATAGCATATATTCAGATAACTTCAATCTAATTTCAAAAAATGTTAGCTTTCAGCCATATTTACTCCTCTATATATATACAAAGTATGTTTCATGTAGATTATTTGAAAATAAGCTGTAGATATGACCATTAACCTTTAAATATTTTAGAATGCATCTTATAAGCACGGTACTTTTCCAATATCATAGTACTTTGATTATAACTAAAATTTTAACAATATATGATATCATACTGTAGACAGTCCATATTTGATTTTTTCAATTGTTCAAAGAGTATATTCTGTATATTTTGAAATGAAAAATGGATTTAGTCTAGATCCATGCTTCATGTGCTTCATTTAGTTGAGAGGACTCAATCTTTCTTGAGAATATCCCACATTTTGGATTTATCTGTGTCTTCATGGTATCATTTAACTTGGTGCATCTTCTGTATTTCCTCTGACTTCAGCCTGAAGAATTGATTATATCTGACTAAACTAATTTTCCCTGACTACTGTGTGGGTTCAGTTGTGTATCCCATATTGTGTTAGATAAGAAGGAATATTATATCATGCCTCCAACACGAGCAATACTAAGTCTGATTGATTTGTCAGGGTGATCACCAGTCCACCCCACTGAAATGATGCATGAGTATTCTTCTTTAAATTAGTAACTAATATCTGGGGGTGATTGCGTTTTCCAAAAATCTTTTGCCAGATGGTTTTTGACATTAATTGATGATATATTTCTAAGCCAGTGTTTATCTAAGAAGTTGTAAAACGGTGACTTTTTAGTTAATTATTTTTATATTTGTTACCAGGCATTATTTTACATAGAAGATCTTTTTATGACCTTTTTCTCTCATTTTGACTTTTACTGTAAACTCAAGTAATATTTATTATTTAAAATAATTACTTATAATTAGTATATTTTTGACAACCCAATTTTCCCAAAATTAAACGTTGGAAATTGATTCAATAAGCTCCTTGTGTCCTATTGTTGTGACTTGTGGACATTTCTTACTTTTGCAGGCACAAAATATCCCAGGTTGTTTGTACTTTCTTTACCCTAAATGTGGAATTAGCCATTTCTGCAAGTAACCTGGTTTGTCACAGTGGGTAGAGAATGATGTTTAGAAATCTAGATCTGGTGTGTTCATGCTGCTAGATTTCATTGCTACTGAGATTTTCCAGTAAATAGAACTAGAGAAAAATTTAAAAAAACTTTTATTTATTTCTCCTTAAATTTAATAGGATAGATGATTTAAAAAACATGCTGGTGCATATTTTTCGCAGCATGGAACAATCTTTGTTTTTAATATTATTAATGTACTCATTCGCCTTTTCTTAGAAGATGCATAACAACTTTTAAAGTATATTTTTCCCAACAATTAACATGCTGAGTCAGGTTTCACATTATCTCTGTAGTTCTTTTTGCTCTTAGAATAAAAAAATATATATGAAAAAGCAGTCAGTTTATTTTACTTGAGACAATTCTTTTCTGTGGGTGGTTATTGATTTCATACAGCAGGCTCATCTGTTTCTGCTTGTTCTCAATTTTATGACTTGCCTTTCTTGGAAAATTAATTTAATTTTTTGAGTATATAAGACTCTTACTTTATTAAGTTATTTGGTCTCAGCCTTCTTTACCATGTCTGCTTTTTAATGTTGGGGCTGAGACTCTGCAAACTACGTTTCTGTTTTTTCCAGCTTTGACTTTCAGATAGAATGCTAGGGGGAGACGGAGAGGCTGGGAGGTTAAGAAGGAACTTACTTCTGTTTTCTTTTTTAAATCTGGGGGTGTTGTCTGCTTCCTGCTCCTTTGCCCATCACCCCACCATGCACTGTCACCCATAGCATGAGTGACCTCCCATAGAAGCTGGTGAGGGTGGCCTGGCAATATTTTCAAAGCCAGGTTTCCTTGGAGCTCTGAGACCCCATGTGACTCCCCCTCAGAGCTCTGGTTTGGGCTCAGCACAGTTCTTGATTTTACCACTTTATAAGCTGGTAATTCTCATTGAATGGCTCCTTATTCCTTCCTTTCTTAAAGTGGTAATGATCCTGCCATTCTGGTAATTCAGCATTCTCTTGCCACCGTATCAGTTATCTAGTTACATTAGTCCCATATAATTACTGAAATGAAATGCCTGAGCCAGGCTAACTTTATAAAGAAAAGAGGTTTATTCAGTTCATAGTTCTGGAGTTTGAGAGTTCAAACTACACAGCACAAGGTCTGTGCAGTGGCACCTCGTGTGGCTGAATCACCTCATGGCAGGTGGCAAAGGCAGGTGCATGCACAGAGGAAGAAATTACACTGTTAAACAGGCTTTTACAGTAACCTTGAGCTATGAGGGTTCTGAGAGAAATAAAACAATCTCTTGCAAAAGCATGACTCGAGTGATGTGAGAACTTCCCATTGAATTCTACCTCAAAGTTTCCCCACCAATTCTCAGTGCCACCACGATGCTGGGACCGACCTTCTAACAGAGGAAACTTAAGAGGGAGATGATATCCAAACACAGTAGTAGTTAACAGTTTCACACCAGTTAACAGTGCTTTGTGTTACATTCTTACTTACGGTGTATGTGGTGGTTAACTGACTAATTGTTAGCACTTAGTGGGGCATGCCCAGCTGAGTGGAGCCAGCATGGTACTGGGCGAGGAAGATCCACTTGAGGAGGCTTGTTGTTGGGATGGTATAAAAGGAGACCGGGGTGGGAGGATTTCAGCTGACCTTCCTTGGAGGAGCTTTGTTGCAACTGCAGTGTCTTTATGGGAGGGAACTATGTGAACCCATGGATGCTAGGAAGCAAGTGTCACTGAGGTCCAGCTTAGAGGCTGGATGCTATATGTGGATAGGTAAAAGTCAAGGAGTGGTGCAAAAAGAAATAGCCAATACAGATCTGACCATGGTGGCTTTCAGCTAAGGTGGAAGGATCCATATGCACTCTAAGCTGAATTGCTGTTTGTAGCATTAAGAAAACAAGGCATTCTTAGGATTCTTTTGGAAATGAAAGTAAATATGTATACAAATTTGTTGAATGCTTATTTAACAAATATCCATAGTGTAACTTTGTGCTAGATAAGGAGCAAGGCAAATTTACTCAATGTCCACAATACTATTTGCACTTTTATTTTACATTGCATTATAATTTACCCTTTACAGATGAAGAAGCATAAGAGAGATTAAGTGACCAGTCAGCTACTGAACCCAGCAGTGATGGAGCAGAGCTTTGTCACTGTTTTTTTCTAATCTGTGCAGTTTCCCACCAAAGACTTCAGAAAGGCCCAGGTGAGTTTTCTGCCTGATGACCTGAGAACGGATGCTTTAGATCTGATTTCCAGTCTCCTCGCCATCCTAATGGGGAATGAGTGGGGCTTTTCTGGGGATACAGAAGACCTATTGTAAGCACAGAGCAACAATATCTGTTTCTGAGAAGGAAGAAATCCATTGTTGTCAGCAGCCTTTGTTTGCTTCAAGGCTACGAATAAGGTTGACTCTGCTTCCAACTTCCAGAAAGAGAGCATCGCTGAGGTTCTTTTGAAACAGTCCTGCTTCCTATTCCCCCAAAAGGAGGAATATATTTTCATCAAATTATATGATATATTTTATATTATTTTTAAGGCAAAACTTGTTCTCATTGAGCAGGTGGTGTTTCATTGCCTTAATAGTCACTGCTGAACACTGAAGTGGTATCTTTCAAAGAGCAATATTTATCTACTTAAAGCTCTGTGGGTAGTTGTGTGAACCTTCCCAGTGCTGACTCAATATAATAAACACAGCAGTGATAGGTGTTAAACTATCATCTAACACTCTATTGCCTCAGAATGTCAGGTTCACTGGGTGGAATTCACCAGAGATCAGCCTTCAGGCTTCTCTTTATATCGATCCTGAGTCTTCAACCATTGAGAAGTGTGGCAGGACACTTCACCAGGGAGTGTAGTTGTGACCTGTTCAAAAGATTTTTAAAGAGATATGCCATTGAAGGGCAATAGGGAACTAGACTGGCTGGGTAACAATACCTTTATCGAAGGTTTTTCCTGGTGATATTGTACCAGCATCACTGCTGTCTACAACTGGGACTGTTTTTCCTCCCCAGTAGTTGTTATAGGAAAGGGTGTCATGACTTCCTTTTAATTATAGCATCTGGACATTTGTAAGTGTTCATTTAATGAGGGAGATGCAGAGGGGAGGAGAAAGGTGGGGGAGAAAAGGAAAGAGAGAGAAAGAGAGTGAGAGAGAGGGGGGAGAGGTATTTACTGGTTTTGTTTTTAAATAATAATGAATCTGGTCTTCACATAATCTTTATAGATCTGTTTTTCTGACCATCCTCTTCTGCAGTAAAAATTTAATTTTTCCATCTTTTCCTTTACTCATCTGTACTTATGTTTGTTTACCTATTTATCATCCACTGGAATATAGACTTTATCATTATGGATACCATATCCATCTTTCCTCAAGACCAAGTCCAGATCCTGAAACCTAAACAGAGGCTGCAAGAGGTTTTTTTTAATGTGAAATAGCAAAGATACATGAAATACTCAAGGTTAGCCTAGTAGACAATGCTGGTGCTCTCCCCAGATCTCCCCGTTACCAGCTCAGTGCACACCATTTTTCTTCAACAACACTTAATTGTGTTCTTATTTATTTATTTCACCTGAGTTTTTACTTCTATGTGGAAAGAAGACTGGTAGTGTCTAGGAGGAGCAGCTCTTCAGCACTGAGTGACTGAGCAGGTGTACAGTACCCCAGCTCCCCTGCGTCTTGGGTGGTGATGAGTTGCTTTGGTCTACAGCTGCCTCTCGGTATCTTTTACGTTTGGCCTAATGCTTCTCTGTACGTAGTGAGCTACAGTTTAAGTGGATGTGTAAACAGACTGTAGCCTGTTAGTAGTTCAGTCAAGGGGGAACTGTTGGAACCACTGGGCTGTCTCTGAAAGTCACTTACTTCTGTGTGCTTGCTGCTCCCTTTGTCATCGATATAACGTGCTCATGTGATAAAAATCACGTGGAGTCATTTTTGGTGCAGCCTGCTTCCTAGTTCTTGAATCGCAGAGTCAGTTTAAAACTTTAAAAGCTAGGTTTGTTGTAAGTTTCTCTTTTTTCCATGGGATAACTCTGGCATTTTTTTTTTTTTTACAGTGTCTGTAAGTCTGTTCCAGAAGAAAAGTCTCATCCCTCAGTGTGCTGCCTGCTTTGACCCCTCACCCTTTGTTAGCTGCTTGCTATTTTTACATTGCTTCATTTTCCAGTTCCCCTACTCAGGTCCAAGCTACTTCCCAAATAAACCCTGTGCACTTGATCCATGTTTCATGATCTGCTTCTAGAGAGCTCAAACAGATGGGGCAATCATACACAAAAGTTTTAGTAAAGTTTCTTGCGTTCTTGTTTCTAGTTAAGGGAGCAAAGCCATCTATTTTGAAATGAAAGCAGGCTGGAAAATACTGTCATTTCCTTTCCTAAAAGTATAGGTTTCAATATACCTCTTGATTAGTTTTTATACTAAAATCATGCCAGTTTTAACAAATTATTTTATGTAATTCCTTTTCTATTTTATCATCTTTAGTGTTTAATATATAATGCAATTATGGACCATCATCTGGGCAGTCAAAGCCATGTGATTTGAGAGACATCATGCAGAAATACGGTTAACAATTAAATAATCATGTAAAGCACACTTACTCTGAAGAGTGCTGGAGCTATTTTGATAGTCTAAAGTTGAACTGGATATTTGTACTTCTCTCTCAAGATCTGGGGAGCCAGTACTGGAGAGAAGTATATATAGGTAAAAATGAGCTGAAAGGAACATACGGTGGAGTTTCAGAGTAGTTAGATGAATACTGGAGAGGAATTCCTGAAGATGGGACTCAAAGGGTGGATAATGCTGTGGAGAAAACAATGTGAAAATAATAATGACAGAAAGTACAACAGATGGGGAGAGAGTGGGCAAACCAGCTATGTCGCTTGCTCTTTTAAGGTGATACTGCTTCTGAATTCTTCAAGTAGACAGGTTAGCAGGAGTATCTATTTATTCCTAGTCCTTAAAGTTTAGTCTTTTGCATTTATTCCATAGAGAAAAACTTGTAAGGTTAATGTCAACATATTTTATGTGTTCATTTGTTCTATTTTATAAGACAACATGAAACATCAATATCAGCAAATTTGTGAAGTAAAGTTTGAGTTCTTTTTTGTAATTGATGTTGTACTTACATCTTGTGGAGGGTGATGTTAATATACTGGGTTGAAGATTTACTTGAATTAATTATTGACAAATAATGTGTTGCCATCAGTTTGACACACAATTTAAGTTAAATTTCATAGTTAATTCCATCCTTTTAGAGTTAGTTAAGTTTAGGTTTTAAAATACATAGAACGGGGCTGGGGATTTAGCTCAGCAGCATAAGTACCTGCCTTGCAAGCAGGCGGTTGTGAGTTTGATCCCTGGTACCGATAAAAAAAAAAAAAAGCAAAAAAAAAAATACATAGAACATTAACATGATTAAAAGAGGTGGGATGTCCAGGAAGATGGTGGAATGACGGGCAGCAGGAGAGTCTATTTTATTATCTTTAGTGATGGAGTCCTGACATTGGAACATAGCACTGTGAGAAAGAGAGGGAGGGAAGGGGGGTCCCCAGGCCCTGGGCAGGATCTCAAATGAGAATCAGAGCCTCTGGAAGTGAAGAGCGGGATGTCAGTGCAGAAGTGGGAGGTGGCAGATGATGCTTTTTCCCTGAGAACTGGCTCATGTGTAGCTCGAACCTGCAGACTATTGGTGACTCGCAAAGGCTGCCACACCAGTGGAAGGGGCAGAGATTCTGAAAACTGCAATGGGTTTGTTATGCCAGTTCAGAACCCAGGAGAGGGCAATTGGCCAGTCGCTATTTTGGAAAGAGGCCAATTGAATTTAGGAATCAGAGCAGCTGTGTGTCGGCTCCATCTAGCAGAGCCCAGTGCCAGGAGGAGGCACAGCTGAGTGTCAGCCCCAGGGAGCCAAGGGTCAAGCTGGAAAGAGGCACCCAAAGTGTGTGGGCTGAACAAGAATTACTAACCTTGCCTTTCATTACAGTCATCATCTCTGTAGTTATCTGAGAGATAACTTCTGATTTGACTTTTCCTAAAGTCTGACTCATCTGGTTTGTTACTTTTGCTGTTACCACTTCAGAGAATGCATGAGGGTGGCTTCCAAATTGTTTCCCCTCATTATATCTTGAGTTTGCTTTGGTAACTTGGAAGTCTAGGATTTCACCTTGTTTAAGTCTCTTCTCATTTTCTTTCTTTTTTTTTTTTTAAGTTTAATTCACGGGTTTATGGTTGTAAATTGGTTATGGCAGGTAGCTTTATTGTTAGTATTTAGAACCCTTAGGAAATGACTACTTCTCAGAGATGTCTCCCAGCTGTAGCTGACTTTTGGGTTTTGAGTCGGTTGCAAAATCCTACCTCTTTAACTTATTGGGAATGAGAGGTTGCTGCTTTTTTTTTTGCCGTGGCCCTGGTTTTTTGGCACTGGCCTATAGTATTTTTTATGACCTTTATGCAATCTCAGTCTTGTTATAACAGAAAGAATGACTGATTAGAACCATTATGTCACCTTAACTGAAGTAGTATGATCATCAGTAATAGTAGCATCAAACACAGCCTTTAAAATGATAAACCATGGTAACGATCAATTTGCCACCTTTAACTATATAGACTATATAGTTATATAATAAAATGTAAAACAAACAAGAAAATTGCATACAGTAAATAAGCCCTCAATGTGGCAATTTTACTCTTGGGGAGAAAGTTTAGAGGGCTTGGTGGGGAAAATAGAGAAATGGAGAGAAAGTGATTAGAATCAAGGTTGGAGAACAAAGGGAGACAATAAACTTTGGGAAAACTGTGGAGAATACAGGAGGGAAAGGAAGAAGAAAGAAAAAGAAACAAGAACAAAACAATAAAACTATGAACAATGTTCATACTCATATAAAAATAAGAACAAACAATCAAGAAAAATGGGAAAAAACAAAGCAAAATAAAAGAAAAAGAAAACCATTTTAATTGAAAGTGTCCACTCCAGGGTGCGTCTCTGCTGTCACTAGTAGACAGAGGCCAGATTTATGTTGATTGATGCCAACAACACGGCTGTGGGCTTATGGCAGGGTAGTGGATAATCGCAGAAAGCCAAGGTTTCACTGAAGTGCAGGCTACTTCTGATTTCTGGCTCTGATGCTGGAACATGAGTTGTGCAGAACAAGGATAAGTTAATACGTATCAGTTATAACCATCAGTGTTAATAGTATCCATTCACCAAT